GGCCAAGCTAACGCCACCGGAGGTGCAGCTACCGCCGGCAATGGTGGTAATGGTGGTAACGGTGGTAACGGTAATAACAATTTAAAACGTGGTTCTAACAATGGTGGCAACGGTGGTAATGGTGGTAACGCAACTGGAGGAAACGCTAATGCCAATGCTGGGAATAATGGCCAAGCTAACGCCACCGGAGGTGCAGCTACCGCCGGCAATGGTGGTAATGGTGGTAACGGTGGTAACGGTAATAATAATGGAAGCAATAATTAAAACGTGATTCTAGCAACGGAAATAACAATGACAACAATAACTTTTGTTCTAACAATGGGAATGATAATGGAAACAACAATTTTAAAAGTTATCTTTATTATTAATCGCCGAAAAACAATAGAAAATTCAGTCATAAATTATCATCAAAAACATTTTTATTTAATTTGTCAGTATCTTGTCTAACTTTTATTAATATTTAATTTTCATCTACTAATTTTTAATAAAACTTTAAGATATAGATAATTTTTTGATATATTATTAGATAATATATAAATAATAAAATTACTATAATAAAGAATAAAGATGGTTCAAATTTTTTAAGTATAAATATATATAAATGCATATTTTTATATTTACGAGATAAAAATATATACTTTATATATACAGTATATCTTGCTTGTGCTCAGTCTATTATAATAAATCAAATAAAACTAAAATAATTTTTAATATATTTATTATAACTAATATTTTGAATATCATAATTTAAGCTAATATTTCTGTTTCAGAATAAAGCTCATTAATTTTATTTGTTAATTTATTATCAGAAAAATATAATTTCTTTGATAATATTTTCATTTTAGACTTATAAAATAACAATATAAAATTTTAAAAAGTATTTAATAATATACAAATTTTAACTTGTAAAATCTATTTATTAATTATAATTTATAAGTTATAATCTTTTTATATTAATTATCTTTTTTTAAAGTTCTTATAAATTATTTTTATAATATTTAGTATTTGATTTCATGCTATAGTAATTTAGTGATAAATCAAAAAACACGTCTTTTCTGAAGGAAGCAAAATCTTAAGTGTTATAAATTTTTTTTTCGCAGTGCAGTATCATCATTAGATATCCTATTCTCCCTAAATCGCTCAAAACGAATAAACTTTTTACACTAATTTTAGTAAACAATTGATCTCTATTGGTGTTAAAACATGTTTTTTGAACTTACTGAATAATTTCACGGCAAGTTCATAATGAAAATAGTTTTAATTTACATGTCGATGTATTTACTTTGACGAATATTGCCAATATCAGTAATCGCATAGATTTAGATTTTCATCAACATTAATTTCGATAGTTTAAAAATTCAGTCACGTCAGGATTGAATATCGAGTATTACATTATTGATAGCAAATTAAAGGGAATACTTGTGTCCATTCTTATCTGCATCGCAGGCCTCGTCTTCGTCCATTTCTTCAGGGCTCATATTCAAAGTCCGGTGGTTATATCTTGAGCTCACAATTTCCACGTTTGTGATATTGACCTTCAAAAAGGACAAATTATTTGCCTTTATAACTCGGTTTTTCGAGTAAAAGGCCAATTCGAAACAGAATTTGAAAATATGAGTCATTGAAAATAACTAATTTAATCTTTTTAGCTTTTTTTGTCGTTTGTTGGCAAAAGCATAGACGAGATTAATTTTGAATCTCTAAAAGCTATGGGTTGTTTAATAATAGCTACGCAATCATGTCGTCTATTCTTTGTAATATTGCAACGTGAACGTCATTCTTCCAGAAAAGAAAATATATAGAGTTTGTAGGCATAAATCTTAACTTCCCATAATCCATAAGCATGACAAATAGGTCTCTAAAGAAAGATGAATTAAATCTTGAGCCAACCTTCGAAGCATACGATTGCTCATTGTTCCTTCGTCATAAAATTATTCGAATAAGACGACTATTAACCCATCCATAAGTGGCTATTTTATTATGAACTTTTCCTTTATAGACATAATTTTTTTGAAACCAATTTCCAAATGTCACACATGGTTTAATACATGAACTACTTTTTTTCAAAAAGCATCTTTATGAATTATGATAATTATGATATTGTTTATTAGAAAATTAAATAATAATAATGATCTTCTCCAATATGTTTGGAGAGTAGATTATAAGATCGATTTAGAGTCTTTCCCAATGTCGGATGGATGGCTCAGTTTTTATGTCTTGATTGGGGCTTTTACGAAATCTCGAAAAACACAATTCCGAATGTTCATAGGCCCAAACGAACGGAATCCCGAATGAACAACATCTGAAAGATCAAATCCCGAATTAACGACTTCCGAATGCACGAAATCCCGAAATCGTGATAATTTAGCATTTAATGCATTTTGGATACATTTACTGTTCTTTTGGGATTTCAATTATTCGATATGTCATTCATTCATAATTTCGATCATTCGGGATTGAGGATTTTGACCATTCAATGTTCGGAATTGTGTTCTTTTGAGATTTCGCATTATGATCTGCATTAGGTTTTTTATCTTATTTAGCCGGGATCGACATTCTTTTCTACATGATCTTTTTGACTTTCATTAAACCGATTATTTTCGTGTTGTTGCATTTGTCAACAATCATCCGTTTTATGTCGTCCATTGCAGAACTGCAGCTTGGAGTTCGTTTTTTGACCATTCCATTATTTGCGAGTAGTTTTCTAATAATTTCCAAATATCGTTTAAGTTTTCTGGGTTTTGACAATTTGTGCTCCGATGGGATTAGGACCTAAGAGGTTTCTAGGAAACAATTCGTAGTCAGTGGGATACCTGGTTCGATTACTGCATGGATATTGCCATATTTCAAAATATTTATTGGATCCCAATTCATTTACTATTTTCCTTAGAGGGTAAATTTATTATTTCTTGTATGAATTATTCATTACAGATTGAGATTAATGGTCAAACAATTCTTCTTTCTTCATTAGTTGAGAAATTTCCAGAAAATCTATCCGTATGTTTGTTATTGTTCACAATATCATACCATTTGTTTTGAATGGCAGCAATTCCTTCTTTGGATTTTTCGCTTTATTTGGTAAGAAATAATTTAGTACTTGTTCTAGCATTAAATCTTATACCCGGCGTTTTCCTACTCTGGTGAATGTTCCAAAAATGATGGCGATTTGCCTTTTCAATATCACTATATTCTATAATCCTTCTTGTAACATTTTTTTCTTTTAATAAGCTGATTCCGTCTTTTACTTCATGTATTGTTTCATTCTCTTTTTTAGCTTTTACATATCTAATATTGGGATTCCAATGAAACATCAGAGGTAGACAACGTTTTCTAAAATGTGCGATAATTAGCAGTGTTTAAATACGACGATTTTTTCCTATCGAAGGATGAGAGTTCCCTTTTTTGGAGTGGTTCCGGAAATACAATTCGTTATACTCGAGTAATGTATATATTTTTCGAGTATGATTCGGGATTTCACTAATAAGCACCACATCAGTTTAAATCAAACCTCACAACTATTTTTATCATAATTTATTAATTAAAAATCATCCTAATTTAAGCACCACTCACAAAACCTGAAATAAGTTTAAAAAAAGTGTACTTATAATTGAAAGAAAGCGGCATGTCGTGAAAATTCTTCAAGATGATTTGAGGAAAAAAATTTTGTTTGAAGCTGATTCTTTGCTAAAAGCAGTCATTAATCAATAAATTCGACATTATCCAGTGGATTCTAATTCTACAGCTAGCAATTGCGCTTGTATTGTATCTGGTTTTGGATTACTTATATTAATTGGTATGTCTAGTTTTCTAATTGTTGCTGGAGAAATGATATTCAGTTTTGATTAGTAATATTCGTATATTTCCAATACAGATTTGTCGTCGTCTGCTTTTCAGTATTAACTAGAGATGGGCAAATGCGCGCATAATACATCACTATGCGTACTATGCGCATAGTACGCATATGCGCATAGTATATACAAGGCAAAAGCGATAAGACGAAGGTCGGGGGCAGAGACAATTTATTCGGCTTATCAAGATTTTCATTTTACTAAATTTCGCACAAAGCCGAATTTATATAGAAAAACTTTGGCTTAATGCAATTTCGGCTTAGCGTGGCTTCGTCTTAACGAGTTTGCCTTGTATATGCATAATGATCTACATGTACATATATAGTAATCAAATACGCGATGTGAATTCATGATGATTTTATTTTCTATAACTATTATATACATTTATCAATAATTATCACTATCACTAATATTATCTTATAGATTAAATTGTTCATTATCATTATCATCCTGATATTCACTTTCATTATTATCCTGATATTTGCTTTCATCACTCTCCTTACCAGCATAATATTGATGGAAGCTTATTTTCATCATTAATGGTTTTTTTTGACAATTCTTTTTGATTATCTGGAGGCGTTTGTAATTTATAATTACTATAAATATAAAAATGTGCTTACTACTTAACTGATTTCTTTTTTTGTTATGAAATATTTGCAAAAGCTGACCACATTCAGAAGCT